GGCTTACTTAACGTGAGTCGCGGGTCGGTCCCTCAGTTAAGTGCATGATCAAAACTGATAAGCATTCCCTCTCTCGTGTCGAAAAGAATTGATTGGTTGTTGTTTCTCCTTGATGACGTCTCGGGATTTTTGCAATTGATTGATATGTGGACTAACGAACGCCCTTCGATCGGGTGCCAGCCTCCCTTATCTCTCGTGCCGACGCGACCTTTTCCTTACAACGAGGAAAGGAAACGTGTATGCGAGTGGGGAGTAAAGGAAGCTGTCGCACGGATCGGCGGACGGCATTACTTCCCTCCTGAAAATCATTGCTCAGGATTCGCGGATGCTGGATTTGTCATTATCGATACTCACTTTTTGCCTTACTCGGTCTTATTGCCCTTTAACGAGCTGATCGTCATTCCGTGGACGGCAGTGGACCCCCACTTGCCTCGCACCCTGTGCACTGAGTGCCAGCGTTTCGAGCGCAACATTTCCAAGGGCTTTCACTATTGTATACGGAACGACAACGAACATAGAAAAAGAGCCACACGACTGAGACCCTCAACCTCGGACTTAGAACTGACCAGCGAGCGACGCCGTGACTTAATACGCAAGCGAGACACGCGAAGCATGCCGAAGCCTTTTTGCTCTAAACGAAAGGCCGTAGCACAGTGGGAAGTACGACAATACTTTTTGGATTAAGTTTGTATTCCTCTCTCCTTTCCCGCCGAATTCGCGCGCGCATTCTACAACGCGTGAAAAGCAACCGACTCACTTCATCGGATCGTCACGGGGGATTTCAGTTCTGTCTGTGTCCCCACACTCAATTTCCAAAAATCCTTGGCACACCCCCATCTTACTGTTTTTCTGGGCCTCTTTTCCGCACACTCAGCACTCCAAAAGACAGCACGGGGTGTGAGGTTGTGCGTCACATACATGGTTGTGAGTGCGAGTGTGAGTGGGTTGCGTGAGGTGTGTGGGAGAGTGTTGGCTTTACTAGGCACTACTGTTACCCGGATGGGGTTGGGGGAAGATAAAAAGAGGAACAGTTACTTGTTAGCATGGACAGGTCAGGGCTGGTATGAGGTTGCGGGTTGAAAACTCCGCAGCCTTGCGCATGGACACAGGCAGGGCGTTAGAATGACACACGGCTGGACACACACTTCCCTGAGCTGATGCAGGTTAGCTAGTACAGACACTGCTTGTAGCCTTGCGCACCACCCGAGGGTCTTAGTCAATTGTTGTTGTATGTTGGGTTTGGCCTGTGGGATGTTTGCCTGATGCTCTTGGTTCTAGTGGTTGTTTGCGTGCTTGCATACTTCGGGATAATTGTTCATTTGCCTTTCCGTACGGTATTGCGCACAAATCATTCGGTTTCCACAGTAGCTCAGTACGTTCGATAGTAGATTGCATGGACGAGGTCATGTGTTCAAACTCACGAACATAGTGGGATGCAGGACCAACAGACCTACACAGCCCATAGACTCAGGAACAGTTAATGAAGACTTAGTACAGACTGGGGTCGGTGTTGGCAGGTTTCTTGGGGCAAGATTAGAGTAGGGTGCCCCGTTGCTAGCTGGAGATCTGGGGGGTCAGCCACTATGCGTGGGAGGGGTTAGGATGACGGCTCCCCTTAGGACAGCTCGCCCGTGGAACAGGGATGG